GTACCAGAGAATAGAGGCAGGTTTAAATTTTTTAATTCATACACCCAGACGTTTAATTAATCTGTCTAATTACAGTATAATTATATAATGCCAATTATAACGGGCTTTTCAGATGACATTTGCAGATCAATTTTAGTCCTTGAAAGTGTGCACAACATTCATCCTGCAACAGCAGCAGCAACAATGTTCACACACCTTTCACAACATGATTTAGTTTCCAAGTCAGGTGGCTGCAGTTGTCTGCTTTTCTTTTGAGATACCATTGATTCTTGATTAGCCCTAAAATGCAATTTCAGGCATCTAGATTAAAGTTTGTTATCTTTAAGAATTAGGGCTATTCTGAAGAAAGCCTTTGTGGGGCTTTTAGATTAATCTGTGCAGCATTTTAAGACAACACGTTGCAGCTCTCTGCCTTTGTTTCCACACTTTAATATGATGATCCTACACTACATTTTAGTCAGCCCCCACCACACCAGTAGTAAAGTTGTCATTACTGTAAAGCTGTTGCCATGGCTTCAGTATCTGGAGGATGATTCACAGACAGCCATTTGCAAGAATTGGCTCAGGGATAAATTTAACACAGATCCTTGAAATTTTGATTGCATGTCATGTGAAGCCAGGCGATAACACCTCTCTTTCTTCTCAGTTTTTATGAGCTTGCATTGTGATTTATTGCTGTACATATGCTCTGTTGAACTATAAACAAAATGTTGTTTCAAAGACATCTGTAAAAATCTGTAAAAATACCATTAAAAGCAAGGGATTAGATGTATAAATTATATCTTCACACAAAAACCACATACGCCATTTGACACATATAAACTGGTATTTGTATAGAATGTGTGGTGTGAATGTGTGCACCTCATGATACTTCAGACCAGGTGTACACAGTTTTTTAGAGATAGCTGCTGGTGCAAGTATAAGTTGAGAGATGTAATATTTTTTCTTTAGGTCATTTGCCCCTTTCATTGATTGCGTTTTAATTATTGCAGCCCCCCGTGTTCTTTAAAATGCCCATTAAAGGTGCTTAAACTTAATTGTAAATTAAGCATAACAAGTATTGATATGCAAATGGTTGTTAAGGGCATTTAGACATCCATTTATTGCCAACTGTGGGAGTGGAAATGAGGCTTGGGCATGTGCGTCCAGATGATGAGTGAGATTCATACAGAACCAGGTGTGCACACAGTTTTATGCATCTGGCCCCAGGTGTTCCACGAAAAAAGAGCTGGAGCACTGACTGTCTACCTGCTCCTCAGGACATACAATAATTCCCCCACTAAGAGAGAGTGCTTTCAAACCTGTTGTGTTGTTATAATAAAAAACGTCAAGTTAATTATCTCCCTCTCCCTTTGTTGCTATGGAAGGATTTTAAATACCACCTTGTTTGAGAGTTGGGAGATTGTGGGGCCCTACCCATCCTGGTGGGTCTTCAACCTGCTTCTGATCCTGCTGCAGCTCCTTCACTCTTTCTGGTCCTACCTCATAGTGAAGACAGCATGCCGAGCCATCTCCAAAGGAAAGGTGAGTCACTACACTCAGCTCCACTTTCGAGTCGATTCTTCCACTTATACCTGTTCTTGCATGATAGGATGTTTTGCTGCTAGTACATATATATATATATATATACATATATATAAACTGTTATAAAAGCCACTGTTGACACTCTCTTTCTGTTCTCTATGCTAACCTGCAACCTTCAAGGTGGGAAAATGGAATCCGTTACATGTAAGTAGCCTTAAAGGAGAACATCTTAATCAAAATGGCTAATATTTCCATGACATGCTGTACAGACATTTATGGTCACCACTGGATGAATCCTATGGGATCTCTTTACTTTCTATCTAGCACCACCAGCAGGTCAAAGTTTCCACTTATCCTGTGAAATATCAACATTTTACAATTTTTCATTAATGGTTCAAAAACAATGAATCCAAATAATTTTGATGATCCCCTGATGTTTTCTCTAGTGCCACCATCATATTGTTTCATCGACTGCCATTAAATTCAGTAAAAACACTTGATCCCCCTTCAGGATGAATTATAATAACTTTGGTGATCCTCTGACTTTTCCTCTAGTGCCATCATCAGGTCAAAATGTCAATTTGTTCAACACTTTGGTGTTCGGCATTCCTGTAATTATTTTTGTCAATTTAGTTGTAAATCCTGAATACTCACTTATTATGCGTGGGTAATCTATACTTGGTATGTTAAATATTTATTGTCTAGTCCTAATACATGAATGGCCAACAATTTCAGTAATCTATTAATCATTTATGAGGCAAAGATGCCAAACATTCACTGGTTACAGCTTTTAAAATGTGAGGATTTGCTGCTGTTTTCTGTTTTATGTAATTTATATTGAATATTTGTGGGTTTCAGACTGTTTGTAGGACAAAACAAGGTCAGGCTCTGGAAAATTGTGATGGATATTTTCCATTATTTTCTGACACTTTACAAACTAAATAATTAAGCGATCAGTCAGAAAAATTATAGCGAGATTAATCAGTAGTGATAATTTGCTGCAGCCCAAATAATGTTACAGTCAGACGTTTCCATATTTCGAGTTTGCAAATAGATTTTATGGCTTTTACAGCTTGTTGTCTGATATTGATTGGCAGAACACTTTCTGGTTTGACACGCAAAAGCACTTTTGTGGCAGTGCAGTGCATGGCTGCCACAGATAATGACACAGATACGAATTTTAATGAGAAAAATGTAATCTCCGACACTCCCTCTCATTCCTGCAGGTGTCTAAAGACGACCGCAGCGACATTGAGTCCAGCTCTGATGAGGATGACAGCCCCCCACCCAATCAGAAGCACCACAGCAGCACCACCAACGGGACCAACAAAAATCACGGGACCAATGGCTACCTGACAGGAGCCCCATATCCCGACGAACACTGACTAAGCTGATATCACAACACTGGAGCCATGCGACAGACACCATCCATCAATCTGTGTGCGCGTGTGTGTGTGCGTGCGTGTGTGTATTTGAGTGTATGGTGGAGACATGAACAATGTTGCCTGTCTGGTACTGGAAGTTCTTGATAGATTTATGTGAATGCAGTTTTGTTATCAGTTTGAGTCTTTACTAATTTCCTCGCAGCAATTACTTCTCTTTATCTATATATTTGCATCAAACTGCACTCAGTGAATTATCCAAGCACTCCTATCGGTACAACCCACTCTCTGTTTAGCCAACGAATGAAAGCGTTCCACTTTATGGTGTAAGCATGCTACTTTAACATACAGTAGTCTGGCATACTGGGGGTGTGATTTTTCTTATGTTTGTGTCTTTCTATGTTATTTATTTTTTATAAATATGTTTGCAGATTGTAGTCGGACATCTATTCTCCTTTGATGTCAGTGTTAAAGATTAAATAATCTTGAGCAACAGCAGTTTTTTTCACATCGCACATCATGACAATGAGCATTAGCAAAATGCTGAAGACCTGGGTTTACTTTCAATGCTACACCCCCAAAGATATGCCAAAATGTGTGAAGTTTACTCACATTTTGAAATACATTCTCCACTCAAACTGTATATGAGATGTCACTAACAGTATTATGTGTGTGCATCCGATATGGCTAGATGCTGTATTCCCTATTAAAGCATTTTGTTAAGTATTCTGGTACATTTCTGGTAAGCATTTCATCAAAGGCCATTTGTCCTCTTTCGAGGCAGACATGAGTTGTTTGAATTATTCAATAAAAAAACATGAAGATTGCAAATATGCGTGGGTCTGTTCAGTAAGTCCAATCAACAAAGAAAAACTATTTACCAAACCCTCATGGGGGAGTTATTCTTTTATAAAGAAATTAATTTGCCACAAATAATAACTTGAGACAGAATTATATTAATTGATTATTGATGAATAAATGTTCTGTTATTATTCTGTGAATGTGCAACAATTCACACAAGGACAGCCGTAGGTGGGTGTCACAGGAATAAATAATAAAATTATGAGTTCCTTTTAGTTGCTTCAGTTTCAGGGTCCTGGTTTTGTGCAAGCCGGCTCACTGTCACACTGTCGTAACAGGACATTTGAATTGAACAGAAGCATTGTTATTGGCATTAGCAACAATAATCTTTATATATATATATATATATTAAAAACAAATCACATGACTTATTGTATGTGAGACAGGTTACTCAGAGTGACAAAGCCACAAAGGATCATCCCTGACACTCCAGTTCCCTTCCACTTTACACAACATTTTAGGGTCTTTCAGTTTGTTTTGATTTTCCAGCCCATGACTTGTTGTTTTGGTTTATTCTGACTGATCTCTTGGTGTTGTTTTCTGCCAAAGTAAGCAGCCTTCTTTAGTAAAAATGTTCTAAAAAAAACTGTACTTCCTGTTCAGCACCAAACAGCAGAGAGTAACAGTTAACAACTTGCTTTTAGCAGCTGAAGAGCCAGATATTTCCCTCAGGAGAGACCAGAGCTAAAAGAGAGTAATTCTTGGACTGAACATTCATCAGGTGGACAACAACATGCCTCCAAAGAAATGCTAATGTTGCTCTTGTCAGCTGGGTGTGTAAATAGGCGAGCAGCATGGTTTACAAAAAAGTGGCCCATATCAACCTCAAAGATTTAATAGCTGCACTATCACCAAACGGACACAAATAGCAACCCAAAGGTTGTTCTCATTAATGGCCTACCTGATAAAGTAACTTATTTGATAACCATTAATGAAAGCCAATAGATCGTATAAATCATTCAGGGTGACTCACCCTATTAGTGTACTTGTCTTCAACATGAAATAGTAGAGCAATATTTTTATTATACTGATATGGCAGATAGGAGCATGAATGGGTCTTTGTTTTGTGCTTATATCTTTTTCTTTCTTTATATCTGATGCAGACGGACTTGCTATCCTGAGTTTATATTTGTAGTTTTTTCCGCCCCCCCCCCCCCCCCCTCACTGGAATTTTCCTTTGTGTCCGACACCGACTAAAGCCCAGGTGATTTCCGCATGAGTGACTTTGGGAGGAGGGTGGTCAAAGTTCCCCGGTCCAAAGTCAACAAACATCCACAGTCTTAAGATGAAGGATCCTATCAGCACCTGCTCTGTGAGTATTTCTTTAAACAAAGTCAGTTCAACGTGTACATTCGAAATGAACTGGAATAGAGATTTTAATTGTTACAGATTTCACAGCTATCACAACAACTAGCTTTATATGAGTTGATTCAGGCCGCCATTGCTCCATGGCAAATGTCTCATGGAGCATTCTTTGTCTTTCAGTACAACCAACTCTATCAAAATGTGAAACGATTTTCAAAAGCTGGGGAGTACTTCTGCAAAGAACTTATGACCGTTTTTCAGCAAAGGTACACAGTCATGGCCTTCAGAGTGAATTTTAATGACAACAGCAGTTACTGTTTGACTCACCTGTCTCTTGCTGCAACCTGTTTCCTGTTTTAGGGCTGAACTGGAGCTCACTTATGCTAAAGGACTACAAAAACTTGCTGGCAAACTCATCAGGGCCTCCAAAGGAATGTCAAACAAGTAAGAGACACAATTCTGGTTTATAATTGGCTCCAGTCTTTTGTCTGTTTTGTGTTAGTCACTGGGGACTAATTGCCAAGCGGTGAACAGAAATAATGGTATCATGGGAAATAGCACGTTAGATGTGATCAAAACCTAGGCAGGTACCAGGCTAATTAGCCCACAGCTCTGACCTTTTCATGCTGGCTCCCCACTCAGTTCCACCTACAGCGCCTGGTGTCATGTGTCAGATGAGATGTACTCAAGAGCAGACGCCCACAGGTAGTTCTCAACCTGAGTTCATGTCATAACTGTGCTTGTCCACTAATTAAACACATCTTAGGGAGATTTGGAGTGAAATACGGTGTGGTTATTCTCATTTCAGATCATTAGGAAATGCATTTCAACAAGAAGCAATTCTGGAAATACGACAAGTATTAGATGAGCACACTAAGAGGAAGAGGCCTGTATGAAACAGATTCTTTATCTTTGTTTCAGTACATCTGTCTGTTCTGGCTTCCAGTCACGATCTCTAACATTTTTTTGTCCATTAATAGCTTGACAGCACCATTGAAAGAACTGGAAAACTTGTTACTGTTAACTGGAACGAGCAACTCAAGGTAAAGAATCTTTTCCAAAAATAAAAAGAGAACATTTCAAACACAGATATGAATCAGCTATAACAGAGCTGTTGTAGAGACAATTATTATTATCATGCTGATCCACAAATCCTTAATCCCTAAAACTTGACTCCCTGTTAGGCTGTCATAAACTTTATAGTGAAGCCTAAAGCGCCTAATGCATTAAAATTCATGCATAATGCATTAAGTTCATATAATCTTTAATAAAGCATTTTGATGTGTTAGGATCACAATACTTAACAAATTCAAGGATTATAATAGTTTGTAGTCAGTACATCCATTTTACATGACAGGTTATAAAGTCTTATAAACATCTTGGTACTGTTACGAATTATGACTTCCCATAACCACAGTCTTTGCTCCACAATGTTGACTTTATAACCTTTCGTGTAAAACAGGTAGAGGAGTGACTGTGATGAATTTATGAAGTATTATAAAAAACATTCCACTGTTGCTGCTACAAAAGTCCATAAGGTTTATAGCAACTTCTGTATTGAATTATGAATGTGTTATTATAGTGCATTATGTAACTGTCCGAGACGAGGGATTCATAAGAAGCTTTTTCCCCAACAACTCCCTTTGTATTTACATGAAGTCCGTGCAATATTTTAAAGTAGATACAAGCAACATTTTGTGTTGATTCTGTTAGCCCCTATGGACGAAGGCGGTAGTGTTTCTACCACCTCGTTTCATCTGATTTCAAGGGGAATCAGACCCTGTGACAGGCATCACGCGCTGATAATAACCATATAGAAATAGCAAATCTTCTCACTAATGGTTTGTTTATGTAGGTCACAGAGAGACATCAGTATTAAATTCATGCTGTTTCATAACCAGTTAATATAAAAAATAAAAACATACACATTCATAAGATAAATGATTCAGCTGTATGTAGCCTGTGTCATTACACCAAATCAAACGTAAAATCTCCCCGTATAAAGTTGCTTTAAAGATAGATATTTACCTGTATGATTTTACTATTTCAATAATATGTTTATGTGGATTCTCTTCTACAACAGATAAAGAAGAAACTGACTGGCTTGACAAGAGAGCATGAGGCTTTGTTCAACTTTGTTGAGAGCAACAAACAGATTTCCACAGAGAAAGAAAAGCAGAAGGTACAGTACATGACTACCAAAATATTCTTCACCACTAAATATATGTTTTCATCCTCTGGGTCTAAACACTAGCTGTAAAAGCTGCCAAAATGTTCACTAAAGATTTTGTTTTTCCCCTGTTCTTGACTCCAGATGCTGAACAGGCTGACTAAGTCGGCAGAGATGCAGGCGCGGGTGGATGAGGAGTACTTTAAAATCAACATGGAGGGTCATCAGATGAGACTCAAGTGGGAAAACACACTGAAAAACTGCTACCAGGTGTGGGAAAAAATGCTTTCCTACTTCTAATGGCACTTCCTCTTACCCCTAGTGGCTTTTGTGAGTGAACAGGTAGGTTCAGTGTCCTGCTCAAGGACACCTCATTTGTGGTTGAGAGTTGAACCAGTGAGTTTTTGGTCTCAGAAAATTCTCCGCAAGCACTAAGTCAGTCTACCACCCAAGTACTCTGTTTGGAGCACCAAATTACACAGTCCATCCAGTGTATTCTGCAACTGTTTTCATGCTGCGTTCTCTGAAATAGAGACATTTTTATCAGCGTGCAGGAAGGAATAGCAGCACAAGGGGGAAATGAGGAAAGAGCCTCACTCAAGGACACGAGGCTACTGGCACAAACCCATGATCTTTTGGTTACTGTGCAATCTTTCCAGTCATTGTGACCTTGTTTTCCTTAATGCTTTTATGTTTAGATGACAATCATGAAGGTGATATGTTAGGGTTTTACACAGAGGTTGGACCAAGTCATTGATTTGCAGGTCTTTGCAGTCAGTCCTAAACTTTAAGTTTCAAGCCCTAAACAATTTATAATGCGCTTTTCACCAAATGCAATCCCATTTTAACACAATGACCGAAATTAAACTATGTTTGGTATAATTTTCTTCAACTTTAATGTAATTTTATTTCTTCATGTTTCTCTCCTGCAATTGGATTGGATGTTGTCGATTTGGTTCAAACAAAGAAGTGGATTTGGGTAATCACACTAACTTTAGTTGGTTCAGGAAGTAAACAGAAATGAATTCCTTCGTGGCGATTTTTAAACAACATACTTTATAATCTTTGAACTTGGAGGAAAGTATCAAGTATTTTCAAGCCAAAAGGCTCAAGTTCAAGTGAAGTCAAAAGTAATTTGTGTTGAAGTCCAAGTTGAGTCGAAAAGTCATAAAATTTCTGATTCGAGTCAGATTCAAGTCCAATGCATGACAAGGACAGGAATCTGGATGTGAATTGAATATGCTGTACAGAGAGCCTCACAGTGCTACTTTGTGCTTTTTCAGATCATACAGGAGCTGGAGAAACAGCGAATTGAAGTGCTGTGCAACATTTTGAATAGACACAACCTCCACTTGTCCAGCTTTGGGCAGACCCTCCAACACGTAAGACATCCTGACCTGCATGCTGCTCACAACTATGTACCAAATCCCTTGATGGATGGTTATAACTTACTCACTTCTGCCACTTCCAGGGCCAGAGACAGATAGAGCAGGCGGTCCAAAGGGTGGACATGGATAAAGACATACAAACCCTGGTGGAGGAAAACAGCATCACAGATGTAGACAGCAAAGCCGAGTTTCTGATGGCTGATTATTTTGTAAGTCTGCAATTTTTTTTTTTCACTCAGCCATTCAAAGACATACCCAGTCATCTCTCCAGGGGGCAATGGGAGTGTGCAAGCTGCAGATACAAAGATGTATTTGTCAGTTTGTGACAGGGCCTGACATGAAGGCAGTTTTTTTTTTTTTTTAAGTTTGCTCTATTTTATATTTAGTTTTTTTTTTAAACATTTTGTTGTGTAAAGTTGCTTTTCTGAGAGATAAACATTTATTGTAAAGTTTAAATGATGTAGGTGTCTGGTTGTACGCAGGTCTCCATTGAAATATGATAGTAATCTCAATGCGATTTACCTGTTTTTATAAAAGGTTATATCCTGTATATGAATGTGCATAGTGCAATAGTGAGGACAGCATGTTGGTATAATGTCCTGGAAATACTCACTCTGAATAGGTTACTTTTGGCACATTCAAACTCAGAGCAAGAAAGACCTTGTAGCTTTGGTACATGAAGCATTAATGGTATATTTTAACCAAGACCATCACAGTTACTGATGTTATCTGTGTTCTGCACGCATCAGGAGGAAGACAGCAAATCGCTGATGGGCAAAGACCGAAGAAAAGAGGCCATCCAACTCAAACTCCAGCGTCTGGAGGACAGCATTGCAAAAACGAAGAAAGACCATGAAGGCAAGTTCAGTACACTATTCATGAAATAATGCGTTAAAGTTACACTGTCTAATCTGCTGTAGGCGGAAAATGCATCTTTCAGTATGACTCAGTTATTCATGATGGACAGTACTACTTAAGGTCATTCGTTTTGTTTATAAGTCACCTTTGACATCCTCGTTGCAGGAGTTGAAAAACTGATGAAAACGTACTCTGAAAATCCATCTTTTTCAAACCAAAAGAACCTTGAGGAAACCGAACAGCAGCTGGACGAGGTAAACAGTGCAGAGTGTGTGTGTGTGTGTTTACTTCAAACTGATCATACATTTGATTTGCTAAAGTGTTCACTTATGTCATCTTGTTGCATGCAGAGTACTCTAAAACTGGATCTCCTCGAGGCCACGCACTACAAACTCTCTGCATCGCTGTCTGAATTAGAAGGAAAACCAAAGTCCTTTCACCGATTTAAAGACAGCATTGTGAAATGGAAAGATAAGGTAAGTCTACGGGTATTTGTCTTCGGGACTTGAGGTATGTTTTGGAGGAGTGGTAGACGACTGAGTTTATAATAATAATGGTGTGAATGCCCAAAACGAGTAGGAAATTAAAAGTAGACCCATTGATGGTCAAAATGGGTTTTTATGTACGACAGTAACGGCCACACTTTATGGAGTTAGATTTAATTTGCTAATTTTGTCTCGTTATGCCCCCACACACCCTTTTTTCTCCCCCCTCTTTCCTGTTTTCTTACAGTGTAATGAAAAGGTTACTTGGTCTCCTAACCTCTTTTTATTTATTCATTTATTTAATTTACTCTGAAAGTAAAGCCATTGTAACCACAGTGGGATACTGGACTGGTTACATTGCACTACTGGTGTAAGAAGTAGACTGTTTTAAAAAGGACCATGTCAAAAAGTATCTGCGGATTATGAAACTACCTTTTATTTTACATATTTATATGTTTCTGTTGTGTGGTTATGAATCGCAGTTATAGGATATTATGATTTTTTTCTGTCTAAGGACTGTGAGCACAGTGTTGTTCAACTGACTCGTCCAGTCAAACTCAGGAGGACCCCATTCAGATCCCGACAGTCACTGAGAGCATCCATCATTTACAAGGGGCCTGCTCTGTTTGTGACCCAGCAGTCTGCAGAGGCTTTACCAAGCAACCAGGTCACTTCCACAGCTGCAGCACAAGAAACTGTAGCTGCAGAGTGTGACAGCACAGTTAACGGAGCCCTGCCTCACACCGATGAGGACAAAGAACAAGGTAATACATCAATACAAAAGATTTATTTCTATTCATCACGTTTGGAAAGTCATTGTGAAATTAAAGCAATGGAAAATATCACCACTGAACAGGTCAAATAAAACCAGAGTCGAGCTGTATCGGAAAATGCAAGGCCCTGTACAGTTTCACACCTGAACAAGAGGATGAGTTGACTTTGAAAGAAGGTAAGTGACAAATAAACTGCAGATTATCTGAAAACAGGAGAGGTTTTCCTTATCTAAAAATTACTGGATTTTTGTTTCACAGGAGATCTTCTAGACATCTACGAAAAGGAAGAGAATGGTTGGTGGTTTGGTGAACTTAATGGGAAGACCGGCCATTTTCCATCAACCTACGTTGAAGAGCTGCCTCTGTTAAGCAAAGTCAAGTCATCTGATGCCTGACTGACTCATAAACACCAAAAATATAAACAACACGCTAAATGAAAGAGATTAATGTCTGCAGTTCCAAAAAAATAAAATACAATACAAATCCTGTACAGACTAATGATATTCAGTGCTTTAAAATGGTTAATAAAAACAAAAGCATTTAATGATACATGTTTCCCTCTGTTAACAGTTCAATGAATTTTTGTAATATTTTGTAATTCTGTTTTTATTTATATACTGTATAAAGCATAAATTATTTGTTTCATTATTTATGCCACATAGAGTACAGAATACAGGGAGTATTTAATAAATATGTATTTTGATTAATGTGATTGACATTAGTCCAGGAAATGGTAGACTGTACAGGGTGTCTGCGGGTCTTAAAAAGTCTAAAATCCAATAATCTGACTTTTAGGCCTTAAAATGTCTTAAATATGAATACTGGACAGGTCTAATTAAATACATTAACGTTACTTGTATAAAGTTATATTCTTCATTCCCACTTTTAAATGTGTTTTGAGAAAAATCTGTAATGATGGAACCAATGCAGAATTTCCTTTATATCCTTCAAACATTTGTACCATTATGGAGTGAATTTGCATCATGATGGTCTTAAAAAGTCCTAAATTTAACCTGTTGAAACCTGCAGAAACCCTGTGTATACCCAAACGGAGTAATTACAGGAGAAAATAAATGAAAACTGTTTACATCTTCTCTTATTTACCCTTACTTTTGAAGAGCAAATACTACAGTAAACTAGTAGATTGTTCAGGGTTTAGAGAGACAGTGAAGCCCCGCCACCACATTCACCAGAACACCTGCTCTCTCAAGGACAAACTCCAGGCTTTGAAACACGGCCAAATACACAGTTTCATTCAACTGTAGCAGGGCCTTGGGCATACAATTAACAGCAGTGTTTATTTAGTTAAAAGTCCCAGTTTTTGAGTACGGCCTTTTACTTTCTGGCCACAAACGTGTATTTTAAATCCATATTTAAAAGTCGTGACAAGGCAGCCGATGTTTACAAACCTGCACTGAAGATACAGACTGAAAGCTCCCTGCTGACATTAGTCCACATTACAGCAAGAACTTCTTCTTTTTATCTGCCGTTGCATCAAATCTTAGCGGCGTGCCTGAGAGATAAACTCCTTCCTGATGTTTGCCAGGAATGCTGGTAAGTTATTGGTCTCCTGAAGCCGGCTTTCCAAGACCGGCAAACACTCGAGCACGGGGTCACTCGACACAACTGTAGAAAAATTTAAGACTTACATTATAGAGGGCATTTACAGTGGCTGTTGCAGGATAAGGCTGTAGGCTATAGTTTTATTACTATAACTATAAATCTTATAAAAAGACCAAAACCAGCAGTGCATTAGTCTTGCTCTACACTTTTTGACTTCCCGACCCTGTCCCACTGAAAACATGTTTGTCATAAATATAGTTTCATATTCAAATAAGGCTAAATACTTTGCCAAAACATCTGGGTACAGTAGTTTAAAGCTAGTGTTCAAACAGAAGTAAATACTGCATTTAGTAGGGACTATTTTCGGTTGTGGATTAATACACATTTGGTGCTCTAGAAAGTAGCAGCAGGACTGTGTATAGGATCGACTCAAAATCCACTACAGTGATAGTGGAACATGTCAGCCACTGCAAAGGTGAAGCACATGTATACGTTTTAGTAGTAGTTGTTGAACAATTGAGTCCACAGCAGAGAAGAACAGCCTATATATGACCTATATGACAATGCAGGATCAGTTCATTCATTTCGGTCTTTTTATGGCATTTGTTACAGGAAGAAAAATGTGGAATATTGTCAGCCTTGTCTTTTAAATGTATACACAGTATATTATTAGTCTTCCTATAACTTACTCTGGTATGATCCATCTTCTTTAATCCCCATTGTGACGACGTAGGCGCTGTCCTGATCCGAAGGGTTGATATTCCGGAAAACAAACTGCAACTTTTCACCTGTTTGAACAAACATATTCTGTCATTTCGGAAGTAATATTTACTTCAACTTCAGAGGACAGTCAGGGCTTTACTTGAGACAAGCTATGATAACTGTTGTGTGTTTCACAAAAGACGCAGCTGTGTTTTTGATGTACCGTTTTCTCCCCTTTCTTTCCCCAATCTGGTATAGTCAACTCTCCTGCTCTTGCTACCACTACTGACCTGATGCAACACCCTCTACCCCCGTCAGGAAAACAACTATTTCTCATTAAACCACTTTGTTTGTGGGTTTTGGGGTCCTTAGTGAGCATACACCATGTGACTACACAGCTAGTTATTTCTAAAGCTGTGATTCTTATGCTAGGGAGGAATTATAAGCATCGAAAGAGGGCAATCCCATCAGGATACAAACATATTTCTCACTTAACCGAGAGGCCACAAGTAGAACACCCTCTGAACAAATCCCCAAATACTCCATATTATTTGATATTAATGTATAAAATCAAAACAGTGATAGAGACAGGACTCAAGAAAGATATGAAATATGAAAATGTACATGTTTGTGTTTGGCATACCGTTGGCCGATTGCGTTTTGCCGAGAATTGTTCGTATCTCCATCCCCAAATGATCCTGAAAGACCAGTCTGGCTTTCTGCAGATTCCTCAGTCTGTCTTTGTTTGCTTTATTTTGAGACTCGATTACTGAAAAGAAAAACAAGTACGGATGTCAATTACCAAAACAACCATATGCAAATTATGTTCTGTGATCTACACCATTCATTTCATCTTCAAATATCAACTTACACTCCTTTCTCTTGACTTGTTCTTCTTTAAGTTTCTCTATCTTCTGGATAATGTCGTCTTTCTGCATCTCCTTCTGCTCAATCTCAGATATCACGTCAGTAATGGCATGCCGTTTCTCTTTCAGTGCTGCACTTTTCAGTTCCAAGTCTGAGGGACAAACATTGCATCAGTTCTGGTATACTTTGACACAGAAGAATAGGAGTGCAGGACCAGTAACAAGAACTTCAATTTTACAATCAATTTACATGCGATACTTTGCGACTTATTGCATAAACTCACCTCTTTTGAATGTCTGTATGGTCTCAAACAGCATCTCATCGTCCTTACATTTCTTTAAACATGTATCTGCCCCAAAAAGGAAAAAACAACATCAACTCTCTCATACTAAAATACCTGTATAGGAATGACACTGTTGGCCCTAACATATACTCAGTGTCATAAAATACTTAACCAAAACCAAAGCAACACAACTCTATGACCACCTATTTTATTTTGTTATGTTAAATTAGAAACCAAGACACTACTCATATTGGAAATGTAAGAATGACATTTAAAGATAATAATATTCTTAACTCAAAGAAATATAACACCCTGTCCTCATTGGCACAGTGGTCTGTTACTTCGTTACCTCTTTTTTCAAAATAAAAGTACCGTGTTTTATAGTGATTAATAGGGTTGTCTGCGTTCCCCTGTGTACTGTGAATACCAATTCAGTTGGAGGTTTAGGCAGCTTTATCTGCAATGTGGATGTTAAAATAACTGAGATTGTTATTGCTATAAAGTGCTATAATTGGTTTTTTTTTTTGGATACGTGTATGGTAACAACTTTTGGGATGCCAATAAACAATAAATAGTATCTCAAACATACCGAGTGCGGACTTCACAAACTGTCTGTGGGACTGGCATAACTCTGTAGTGGCATCAGTTATCTCCCCATAGGCTTTGAGCTGTTTGTTGTGGATCTCCTCCATTGCACTGGTGAACCTGTCACTCACATTCGGGTCAGTAATGGATGTCATGATGTTCAGGTGTCAGGCAATCTGCAATAAAACAACAGACAGGACAATGCTCAATGCTCATTGATTACAGACTGTAGCTGGACATCTCATTGTTTGTTTAAAGTCATGATGTAACATTTCCTTCAGAATGATAATGACTTTTATTGTTGTTATGTTCAGACAAGGGCACCTATTGTCTCCCACCCACCGCCATACATATACACCTGCACGACTGTATGGTTGTATAAGTGTATATATGAATGACCGAGAATTAATTAAAACAAAAATAAGGTGTTCATTTAACTAGCTACTACCTATCGACCTTTCTAACTTTTACACACACACACACACACACACACACAATGACGGTATGTTGTGTCACAAATGAAAGCTCCAGGGGAAAAGAATATAGTAAGATGACCTTTATGTTGATGGTTATGTTCGAGGTCAAGAAGCCAAATAGTGTAACGTGTGACATTTTAACCGCAACTGAGATGTCGAGTCGACAGATCCATCTCCTTGACAACCGAGTTGACAGCTCAGACAGTAGCCTAGTAACGAACTTTGACTTTTGACTGTTTTGTCAAACTTTCCTAAAAACATCAGCATCCTCAACTTCCGTGACGAGCGTTAACATCACCAGTATGGTTGTCAGTACCAGAAAACTGCAGTATGACGATGACTGAGGCCGGTTCGCGTTAATTATCGTCATTTTAAACCACTAACCGTGTTGTGTAACTAGAACCGTACCAACAGCTCACAGCCTCATTTTGTGACCTCATTACTTACGTACGTTAACGATACTCCGTTCGAACTGACGAGTAACGTTAACGTGCTTCGTTCGAATTGATTACGTTGCCGTGTGGAACGGTGTGGAACATTCCAGAACATTCCAGAGTAACCGTTAACACCCAAACGGTTCGAGCGGCAGGCAACATTAGGTTAGTTAGCAGGTTAACGCTAACGTTAGCTGGTAAACATTGGCGAGTAGTGAGCCGTAGCTTACCCAGAAGAACTACAACAATTAATAAATAAACCAACCGACTCGTTTATGAACTGATGAGCTGGTTTACATTTAGATGAAACACTCACTTGTTTTAATGAACGGTCGTCGATGATCTCTTTGGTGATTAAACGCAACGTCTTGCTCCTGAACCAGTCGTTATTTTCAAAAATCCGCGGTCTGCACACAGGAGGCGGGGACTGCACACCGGAAATTACGTTTTATTTGTTTTTTTCTCCGCTCACAAATAAGAGAATTACCGCTGTTTACCTCTCAGGAGAGCTGTGTGTCCCGTAACTGAAAACGTGCCTACTCTTTGATTGTGTTATTTTTCAATAAACATTAAAAATGCAGCCATGAAGAGCTTCCCAGTCTTTATTGCGATGTTATACCACCTTGTGGTGAATCTGAGGAGGTTCAAGTGGGCCCAAACTACCTAACATTAACATCAAATTTCTAAAAAAATGACTGCAAATTTTGTATATGCAAGTGCTCTTAAAAATAAGACTTTTAAAATGTAAAAAAACATGGTGATGAAAGAGTCCCTGGATATAAACCCAACTGTGGATGCCAGATGGACTGTGTTTTTCAGACAGTACATTTTGTTGCTACGTTCGCTGAGAATGAGAATATTAATGAGGCTGAAGGGATCCAAGGGGTTACTTGGGTCGCTCTCTCTTTTAGTGTGTACAATGGCTAATATGTAACAACTGTAAAAGCAATGGTCTGTAAAAACAAATGATGGCTACACAGTCAGGGTGTTTGTCTTAAAATGCTGAGCTCTCATGACTTGGGAACACATTATTTTATTCTTTGTGGGTTCAATCTGAAGAGCTTGCAGTCGTTGCCATGGCTCCTTTGAATGATTTATGATGCCAGGTTGAGATATAAAGCTATCTTAGGTGCGGACGGGGGGGCTTCATGGTACTTTGACTGGTGCTGAAGAAGGAGCTGTTGAGACTCTGGCGCACAGAAGGAAACTTGTGATGGATTTTGTCCACAGCAGTGGTGTGCTGGTTATACAGCACCTCCAGAACAACTACAGGGAACACCACGACTTCCTCAACTTTATGTCAACTGTGGGAGACCCTCGTAATATTTTCTCTGTTTATTTCCCCCTCTGGTTCCATCTCAGTCATAACGTGGGCAAAAAGATGATCTGGGTGGCTGTTTTTGGAGACTGGCTCAATCTCATTTTCAAATGGTAAACCAACTGTTAGATTAAAAGTGTCATCTTTCAGATCATTTTGTGTTTTTATAGACTTTAATCTTGTGTTTCAGGATTCTGTTTGGGCAGCGACCTTACTGGTGGGTGCAGGAAACTCCCTTCTACCACAATGACTCATTCCCACTTTTGGAGCAATTTCACAACACATGTGAAACGGGGCCAGGTTAGCTTGATACATTTTAGATTATTATTACCAATACCATTAAATGAAACAATATCTAGCAATGTCAAACACTTTCTTTGATGTTTCTTCATGCAGGAAGTCCATCTGGTCACGCCATGGGCTCATCATGTGTGTGGTATGTGATGATCACCTCTGCTCTCAACTTCACCAAGACTTCCTCCTCCACTCTCACTTCTGTGCAGAGTTTCCAAAGGTGGGCCGGTTTGTTTGTACCATATAGTTACATCAGTGGTTTCTTCATCAGTGGTCATGTCTAAATATATCTGTCCCTTTGCAGGTTTCGTCTTCTGAAGTCTTGCCTGTGGATGGCTTTTTGGGTCATTCAGATAAGTGTCTGCGTCTCCAGGGTTTTTATTGCGACACATTTCCCACATCAGGTTGTCCTTGGTCTTTTAGCTGGTGAGTTTCTTCCTTCCTGTCACAGATTTTCCTGAGCTTGTTCTATGTTTTTATACCTTAGTTGTTCATGTTGTATCATGAATCTGTCTGTTTTTTCCTACAATGTGTAGGTATGCTGGTTGCCGAGGCGTTCGATCACATCCCCTCAGTCTACAATGCAAGCTTGAAAGTGTACCTCCAGACCAACGTGTTTCTTTTCTCTTTTGCCGTTTGCTTTTATCTGATCTTCAAATCAACCGATATTGATCTTCTGTGGTCAGTTGCTAAAGCCAAGAAGTGGTGCGCTAACCCAGATTGGATCCATCTCGACACCACACCTTTTGCCGGTCTGGTGAGAAACCTGGGAGCCTTGTTTGGTCTAGGCCTGGCGGTGAACTCTCGCATGTTCATTCAGAGCTGCAAGGGGAAGAACGGCTACAAAGCCAGATTCAAACTCATGTGCGTGGCAGCAACTCTCACATCTCTGCAACTGTATGACTTAATTAAAATTCCCACTCACTCTGAGGTTCTGTTTTACGTTTTATCATTCTGTAAGAGCGCTTCAGTTCCTCTCGGTGTGGTGGCTGTTATCCCGTACTGTGTTCATCTGCTGATCGGAGATGAGGACAGGAAGCTTGCTTAGATTGTGGAGGAAGTGTGAAGTTTTGTAACAATCCTATGTTAGACTTTTAATTTAGGATATCAGATGGGTTATGTCCTGTCCCACCACCCGTCACAGACAGTCACCTAAGCACTGAAACTGCAATATACAAAGTTACACTACGAATTGGTTAGAAGTAAATCCGTTTTTTATGTGGTCTAACTTTATGACTTGGAGCCTATCTGAGTTTTTGTCCTTTCTTAGTTTTGTTTGTTTTCATTGTACAGTATAACCCACTGCATGAGTGTAAATGTGAAGCATTAATGACGTGATATGAAAGATTGCTGTAAATAAATTGTTAATATCAATTTGGAACTCATAGTTTTCTTATGAAAAGAAGCTCATTTTGAACACTTTTGCCTAAAGCGACCTAGATTTTACCTATAAAATACACACCGAGGGCAATGTACGGTTCACTGTCTCTCTCAAGGACAACAGAGTCATACACCACCTTTAAAATATCTTTAATCTTTATCATTCAGTCTTAACAATCAATACCTTACATCTACCACCTGCCTAGCACAACAGTGAGAAAACACCAAATGAGGATATTTATATAACTGATCTTATTAAAATATGTGTTGCTGCTCAGTTGAAAAAACAAGTTAAACTTTTAGAACCGCATTTAGATTGTTTTAATATGTACGTAAACAGGGTAAATCACCATGACAACAGCTCACAAACAGGTCTGACTTTGCTATAAACTCCCTTCTTTTTCCATGACCCACTAAATCAATCAGGGTTTCTCTCCTGCAGCAGCCTTGTATGAACTGAGTGTATCCACTGTGCGTATAACTTACTCTATATCAACTACATAATCTCTTATGGGTCACTTAGTTTCTTCAGGCACATTTAGATATTAATCAGCCAAAATGTAATGAGGTAGAACTGAGTCTGTGATGTAACTTGATTAGGCGGATTAGTTAAACTCCCCCAGCAGAACCCATTTCCACCTCGTGTCTGTGGTTGCTTAGCATCCAGTGGCACCTGAGGCCTGGCACTAAATGATGTAACTGTCCTAAGTGCGTAGGCTTCTTGCTAAGCCAAGCTTGAAGAAGCATCTGTGTGTCTGGGTACTTTATTAGGACTTCAAGCTGAAGGCAAAACGGCATGGCCGCTCAGCAGCCTGCCCTTTATTCACTCCAACGTTAAGTTAAATAGTTAGAAAGCAGAATTCAGGAAGAAATGAGGAAGAAAGGAAATGTTTAGAAGGAATGTTTAGGATGCATGAGATAAGTCGTATCAAGGTATGAAAAGCAAACAACCCTTAAATTCAGCATCCTTTAATTTATTCAGCAATGATGAACATTTCTTTTCCAGTTAGAGAAAAACAAAGTTAAATTAGTTGTTACTACTAATGAAAGTGAACACTATTGGGAATGGCAGACAAATGCAAAAATAATACAAGACTGCAAAGGACTGGTGGACTGCAAATTTGCCCTCTTGGATGCCCCTATGGTAGATAAAACATGATAAAATGTCCTCTCCAGTGGCCCAAGGTGCAAGAAAATGACCTCTAGGGTGCACTTCCAGTGGATAAAAAGAGCGATATAGGACATTTTAGGCTGCTCTCCATGCTAGAAAATGTGTTTTCCTCTACATGCCCCTAAATTGTTAAACAGTTAATGGCTTTATTACAGAAGTATATTAGTTACACAGATAATAAAACTATTTTAATCTTAAACAGGTTTTGGAACTAAACACACTGGTGTCCCACCGCATTCAGTCCTATAATACACCAATAAACCCAAATTAAAACCTTTATCCACTCATTGATAAAATAAACTACTCATAAACAAATAAATATAAGGTAAATAGTTGAATCATTAATAAGCCACACAACAATTAAAAAATACTTTTAAACCTGAAGATGAATGAAAAAAGTCTCAGTTTGGTTTACGTACAATCAAGGGCATAAATGTTACTTTCTCAGTGTGATACCACCAAGATGACAACACATTATTTAAAATATACAATAACAAAAAATCATTGTCATCAAATGCGTGTGCAGGCGCCTAGCTGATAGGAGCGCCTGTTTTAACTAGTTTATAATAGGCGCCTTTCTTGGCCATGAGGTCATCGTGTGTGCCTTGTTCTATGACAGCTCCCTGAGACATCACTGCTATGATGTCAGCAGTCTGGATGGTGGACAGCCGGTGAGCGATGACAACGCAGGTTCGTCCTTTTCTGGCCTCATCCAGAGCCGACTGGACCGTCTGAAAACAGAGCTTTGTCTTAGGAACCCATTCTTTGAGTAAGTTCTTCTGGCGTAAGTAGGTGGAGATGTGTATCATGTGTATCAAGTGGCTTTACAGGGGTGGCTGTGGTGCAGAGGCAGAGCAGGCGGGTTTGTCCCCTAATCGGAAGGTTGTTGGTTTGATCCCCGGCTCCTGGTGCCAATGTCGAAGTATCCTTGAGGCAAGGATACTTACCCCGAATTGCTCCCGAGTGCGGTGCATTGGTGAATGTGTATGAATGAGTTAGTTTCTGTTTGATGGGCTTTGCCATCACTGAGTGAATGTGTGTGAAAGGGCGAATGTGCCATGTAGTGTAAAGGCGCTTTGAGTGGTCGAAAGACAAGTACATTTACCATTTACCATCCATTTATGTCTGTGCTGTTTGATGGTGTTGTAATAATGTATTACCTTTTCACTCTCTGTGTCCAGGGCAGAGGTAGCCTCATCCAGCAGCAGGATCTTGGGGTTTCTGACGATGGCCCGGGCAATGGCGATGCGTTGTTTTTGTCCTCTTGACAGCTGGGAGCCCTGGGCACCAACCTGAGTCTCATATTTCTTGAAATGTGCAAATGCATTGAGAGAAGTGGAGAAAGCAAAAGGTCACAAGGTCAACAATGCTGTAACGCTGTACCTCCACAACAAAACACTTTTTATTATTAAAATATTGACTTCAAGGCTTTCCAGTGTGATTTAAACATCTGATAAAGTCGCACTATTGCAAGTTTCAGACATTAAGCTGACAGTTTAGAACACAAGGTCTATTTAGTAGCTGTTCTGGAGCTTTCTATCATATCACACGATGTTCCTCGACTGATGGAGTTTGACTAGTTGTCAGAAATTGTAAACGTTCACATTTCCATTTTTCAAACCATTTCAAGGACTTAAGATTGACTCAACTGTCCAACTGGACAAAACTACATCCAGCTCAGGAAGATTATGACACAAGATGAAAACAATAGACCTCGTGTTGAGATGGTTTGTAGAATTAAGTTGATGAGCATTTATGCAGCATGTAGAGAGACACCAAAAATCTGTACCTCTCTGCCCACAAACCTAGGGGCAGAGACTTGTAGAAATGTTTGTTTAAGATTCTCGAAAGGCAAGTTCAGCAAACATACTCATCTGTTTGAGTTTGCCAAAAGGCAAGTAGAGCAAACACCTCTGTTCTGGAGCAAATTGAGTTCCCACGTAAGTTAAGGTGAGACGTCTGCTATGATGGACTCTTGTCACAATAAATTAAATTCTTTCCTGTGGATAGGTCTGGGTGTTTGATTTCATTTGTGTTCTTGTTAACAGCACAAGAATGGCTTACAGTGGCGGACTAAAAACCAGGATTTGCAACGGCAGTGCATGTAAAGCTGTATCTTTAAGTGTTTCCACTCACATCTGGTAGCGTCATGACAAAATCATGAAGGAAGGCTTTCTTCGAGGACTCAATAATCTCCTCCATGCTGACACTGCATGTGTTATTTCCATACCGAATATTCTCCGCTATGCTGCAGTCAAACAACACTGGCTCCTGGGACACTATGCCAATCTGAGATCTTATGAAGGGCACATTTACTGAATGAGATGGGCGGCCATCAATCAACTGAAAATAAAAGATGATATAATTAAGACAAAGGTGATGGCTTTGGAATAGATTAAACTCAATTTGTGATTAGTAAAATGAATGTTTAAATCAGTCTACATACCACTTGCCCTTCATCGGGGTCATAGAATCTCTCCAGCAGCTGAACACTGGTGCTTTTCCCACAGCCGCTGCTCCCGACAAATGCCAAAGTTTGACCAGGTTTCACAGACACAACCAGGCCGTTCAGCACCTGGATATCTGGCCGAGTTGGATAGGTAAACTTGCAGTTGAGGAACTGTATTTCACCTCTGAAGTTGTCCTAAAGGTGGATAACTAGGGTTAATCATTTGAAAGTAACATCATGACATTATTACATTTTATTATGTATGTTTCCATGTTATTAATGAATTCACCAACCCATTTCTCTCCATCTGTGTGGCTCATGCTGATTTTAGGAACTCGGTCCAATAGTTTAAAAAACTGAGCAGCAGCAGTTTTGGCTTTGGCGTAATCTGGAGTGAAAGAGGAAGCTCTGCCCAGTGCTGTCCCACTGATAACTACGGCTGAAATAACTCTGGAGAAACACCACATGAGCACTGGGTTGATGGTTGCACAAACACATAAAATATATTTCAATAAAGATACTTCCACTGAGAGACACCAACCTGAAAACCAACATGTATGATAACCCCTCGGAGCTAACCAGATGGCCTCCATATCTAAACGAAGCAGCATATGCCATGAAGATGACACACTGGGCAAAACCAAAACAGAGCCCATAGATCTTGGCTCTCTTCTTGCCAGATTTATATGGAAGCTCGAGTTTCTGCTCATATGATTCCACAAATGAGCTCTCTTTGGCCAAGCCTGCTATAGTCCTGATGTTGGCAAGAGCCTCACTGGACACCTGTGGGAGAAAGTTAAGAAATCTTGTCCTGTAGCCTTTGAGTTTTACAGAGAAATCTACAGAGCCTGCGTTCTGTTCAGCTTACCTGACCTGCTACCTCCATCGCTTTTTTATCTTCATTTTCAAAGCCTGTCAGCATTTTGGCTTGGAACACCCCAGACAGCCCGATGAGTGGCAGGAAGCACATGATTACCAAAGTTAACTTCCAACTGAAGTAGAAAGCAATGATGAAAGATGCTCCGATGTTGGTCAGCGAGCTAACGATCATCCCAATCTGAGATCCTGTAGCCTGCAATACCAGCCACATGCAAAACCACAATGTAATTACAATATCAAAGCTTATTGTTTTATATATGGATATACTATGAATAGATGTTACTCACCCCCTTCACCATGGATGCATCAGTGGCCAGTCTGGTGGTCAGAGCTCCAGGGCTGTTTCTGGGGTCATCAAACCAGCCAATCTCCTGTCTCAGCATTGCCTGAAAGCCCACTTTCCTTAGACGGCGGGTGAGAAGCTCTCCAGATTTAGCAAAAGCAAATCCCTGAAACATTCAATCAGAACCCTAGATTATTGTTCTGCCTTTCTCTATAAGCTGACAAAGAGATGTATACTCTAAATGTCTTGAGTGTGTCGCAAATTCTGGTTCAAACCTGTATAAACTGTGAAAAGAAACTAATCACAGCCACAAAGCAAAACAGAACACATATCCCATTGATCTGCTCCCTCTGTTTGTTCAAGTCGGGAATGGCAAAAGTCTGCAAATACAAAGATCACATAAGTCATTTGTACTTCAACAAACCACACCAGAACATAAATCTATCACAAGAAAGGGGAGCGTGTGGAATACGCAGCCCTCACCCCAAGAATTTGGCTGAACAGGACAGCATAGATGGGGTTGACAGAGCCATTGAGAGCTGCTCCCAGTGAGCCCACCAGCATGTAGGGCCATTCTGACTGGTTGTACTTGAGGATACGAGCTACTGGGGCAGGCGTTACATGCTCATCTGGATAATCCTCGCATTTCTGTCAGAGAAAAAATGCATTGGAGTTATTTATTTACACAGTTTATTACAGTTTGTAATAAAGTATAAGAAAACATAAAAGAGAACCTCAGTACATTTTCTGTGCTGATGATGAGGCCGTCTGGTAGTGTGTCTGGGACAAAATTACTCGACAATTTGCTCTGAGAGCGTAGGCGAACAGAACTACAGGAGCAATATTGAGAACATCATATTATTTTATTGTGGTATGATGACATCTCTTATTAAATGTTTCTTTTCTGATATGATCTTATTGAGCGGTACCTTCTCCTGGATCCGGAGCTTCCACGGCTAAAACTCCTCGCTTTTACAACAAAGTCTTCAAGAGCTTCACTGATTGCATCTGGCAGAAAAAACAAAACAAAACAAATCAATACAGCTTTGATACAAGTATTGAAGCTTCTGTTGCTCTTTAACAGATACAGGACCTTCAAACACTCTATAGCATTGCCCACTGATTCCTGAGTGCTCCGAAGGGTGCAGTTTCAACCGATAGACCTTTGTCACAGCAGCCATTTTGACATTAAATAGTAGGGTAAAGTAGTGTAGTGTAGCAGAGCCTTTCCAGTGAGCCAACATGCACTATAGCAGCCCCCTGACTCTGGTTGACCTGAATGGAAAATAACCTCAATTATTATCATTCGTAACACCTGTGTTTACCCTACTTTTTCATGTCAACATGGCTGCTGTGGAAAAGGTATCATCTCTCGATGATCACTGGGAGGAATTTCTGGGTACAGGCTGACGGTGTTATGATCGCAGGAAAAGGCCTTCTTGATTTTAAGGGGTTTAAGCCTTCACCGTGATAAACAGCCTCGTCCTGCATTACAAAAGTACGCAGTTAAAATAACCAAAGAGCTAAAAGAACAATGAGAAGAAAACACTGAATTTAAAAATGAAAAAGAAGCCTATCAAATATGTATGATTATTTAGAAAAAAACATAATACAGACAAAGAATTGTATAAAACGTTCATCAAAAATGTATCTTTAATGTAATATTTAAAGGAAACAATCGGCTCAAAATTCATCTAAATTGCTTGTTTGACACAAACTTCCTGCAGTTATTGTGTTCACTATTTGGGTTAATTAGGGTTATATGGCTTTTACAGTTTATCAGTTGTCCTGTACTGTTATTGTTGTTTCACTTAGTCAGCAGCCATCAGTTTACTTAACGACTGTTACCTTGAAACTATTTTAGAGACCAAACAATCCAAAATATACATATAGTATATATAATGGCTTTGAGTTGCAGGTATACATAACTCCTACCATTAGTTGTGTTGGATGGGCCTTCGTTCTGCAGGGTGACCAGGGTGAAGTAGACCCCTTGTCTTTCTATTAGCTCGCTGTGTGTTCCCTTCTCCACAGCCTGTCCGTGCTCAAAACCAATGATCACATCTGCATTTCTAATTGTGGAAAGACGGTGGGCTATAGAAATTGTTGTTCTGCCCATGCGCACCTGCACACATACTAGTTGTAAGGGTATCGTTCCACAAAACATGATGTGTTGCTCAATGTTAATGTTTAAAGTGCAGTGTATAGTCAGAGAGTGGCTCACCTTATCCAGTGCCTCCTGGACAACAGCCTCACTCTCATTGTCTAAGGCAGATGTGGCCATGTCCAGGAGCAGGATCCTGGGGTTTCGGATCAGAGCCCGAGCAATTGCAATCCTCTGCTTCTGTCCTCCACTCATCTGTCCTCCACCTTCTCCCACCATGGTATCAAATTTCTGGTTGATAAGTGGCAACATGTACATTTTAGGCTTAAATTACTAACACAAACAAACTGTTGTATGTCTTCTGTATTATCTTTAAATGCGTAAAAGTACCTGTGGCAGATCCATAATGAAATTATAGGCATTAGCCTCTTTTGCTGCTTGGATGATGTCTTCCATGGTTACTCCAGGTCGACCAAACCGGATGTTTTCTGCAATGGTTGTAGCAAACAGCACTGGCTCCTGCTCTACAATGCCAATGAGAGATCGGAGCCACTGGATGTTTAAAGTACGAATGTCATGGCCATCCAAAGTCACCTGAGAATGAGAATTATAGATGTGTGACATTACAATGAAGCCTTCAGACTTTCCACTCATATCTTTTTGTGTGTGTGCAGTCGCTCGGATTGTTACCATTCCTCCCTTTGGGTCATAAAACCTTTGGATGAGCTGGATTGTAGTGCTCTTCCCAGATCCGCTCGAACCCACAAACGCAGTGGTTTCTCCTGCTTTGATCTGCATGCTCAGATCATTTAAAATCTGAAAACAGTTGTAGTAGAGTTGAATACTGAGAATGGACACACACAGAAATGCTATAGTTGAAGTAATATACCTTGACTTCAGGCCGGGATGGGTAGAAGAAAGTGACATTATGGAACTCAATGTCACCTTTTACTTTGTCTAATTTGCGACCTTTTTCTGAGAAACAATCGATTTCTGGTTCCTGTGAACGTAACAGCACAGAACTTTATTCTAAGTTTCTTTCCCTTAAAATGTACTGTTTCCAGTCTGGATTGTATCTACGATAAAGTAGCCTGAGGTTACCCGGTCGATTGTGTCAAAAATTATCTTGGCTGCAGCACGACCAGAAGCGAAGGCCTCCAGGCAGGGCGAGGCCTGGCCCAGGTTCATGGCTGCCATGAGTACTCCAAAGAATACCTGAAAAAGAAACACATGGTGAAACAAAGGCCACTGTCTTTCAAATACTTATATTGAATAGAGTATCAGAAGTTAAATCCATTTAATGTTACGTACTTGAATAAGACTACCAGGAGACAGTTCCTTGGTGTCGATGACCAGTTTTGATCCATACCAAAAGGCCAAAGCGAAACAAAAGAAAATGATGCTCCACAGGTATCCCTGAAAAACTCCAATGACCGTGCCCTTTTTCACACCAAAGTTCTGAGCTTCCACGAGGTTTCTGTCATATCTGTACACATTTATCTTTTTAATTTCATTTCAAATCATACAGTAAAGGCTCATCGTCATTTTGCAAAGTGATGAAGATCTGGCAAATTACCTTTCAGTTTCTTTCTCCTCCCCACCAAATGCTGCTACCGTTCTGATGGATGACAGGACCTCGTCAGCCACTGCCCCTGCCTTCGCGTAGGCCTTCAGCTCCTGTCCTGTCAGCCTGCCCACAGCCTTCAGAAAAAAGAAAGAAAATGATACAAAAACATGAATTAAAACTTTGACATACGATAGCACATACAGTAGCAATGCACAACTGCCCCTTACCATGGCCATAAGTCCAGCAGCTAGTCCAATCAGAGGGCTCACTGCTATGACCACTAAAGTCAGCTTCCATCCGCCAATGAATCCCACCATGAAGCCAAACACAAACGTAGAGAGCCTCTCAATGAAGAAAGACACCTGGTCGGCCATGGCATTGTTGATGTTGTTGATATCACTGTAAAAACGAACAAACACATTTCTGTGTAAAGCATTGTCCCGGCACTGATAACATCCTGATCTGCAGATAAACAGGCACCAACTCACTCTGATATCCTCGTGTTCAGCTCGCCAACAGAGTTGCAGTCAAACCATCCAATCTCCATTTGCATTACTTTTCTGAAATAAGTATTTCTTATTTTCTGAATTTGTCTTGCGGCCGCTGACACCCAGAAGACAATCTAACAATCAGAGTGGTAAACACACATTATTATTTATTATTTAAGTCGATATAATGGTCCACACTGTCAAAAAGAGGGTTTTAAGTTAACAGTTGGATATGGCAGGCATGTACTCACCTGAAAATAACTAACAATCAGAACTCCTAATCCAATTCCAACATAGTAATATGCAAACATGGTCATCTGAGCTTCAATATCCACCCTGACAAGAGAATACAATTAGTACCAGCAGCTTTTCGCTGGAACAACAAACAGCATTTAACTACTGACTTACCCACAACGCACAGTGCTGTTTTCAGCTGTTTCATATACAGAGCCATTTATCCAGTAGATGGTGTTGTTGTTGCATTCCTTGTTCGGGTCTTTCAGTTCTTGGACTTCCCGCTCATAAGCCACAAATGTGTCTGTCATCATGCCATACACAAGGAGCATGAGAGGTGAAGCTGCACCGTGTACGAGGGCACACAAACCCCCCACCACCATCATCACTGTGTCTTTCCATGTGGCGAATCGAAACTGCAAAGAGCAATTTTAAGATTTCTTTAATAATGTAGTTTGGTGCCAGTCTATATTTTCTTCTTGATTTTTATTGTTCAAACTAAAGAAAAGTGCATTGATCTACAGAAAATGACTCAGATTAAAGTAGCCTACTATAACAACTATGTAAAATAGCCCATAAAAAGCCATACAATTAGTAGTAGTAGTAGTACTACTAAAAAGTACAGTATTGTAAGCAAAATTGAACTGATATATTAAAACATAATACATTATTAGATTGTTCATACCGATGAGTTAGTGGGCATGTATTATTTTACTGTTGTAACAGTTTGAGGTTTAGCTAGTTTTAACGACTTTATATAAAGGTAGGTAATCCAGTGGTTTTTGTTTTCATATTTTGGACTTGGAGTGGAGTAAAAAGTATATTTCTCTCTGAAATATAGTTGCATTAAATAAAAGTTAAATATATCTTCATCATCCTAAAAAAAACATCTGTTTAGATTACATCTCAGCAAGTTACTTTGGTAAAAAGCATTGATTAATGTAAAATAAAATCCTACTGAGTTATTTTCCATATGAGTAAAAACACAATATTTACCAGCTGAAAGTATCCAACACTCTGTGTTTTTTCTTTTTTTCTCTCATCTCTGTAACACAAATCAAAGTAAGACCCAGGAATATTAACTGCAGACACACTGTGGTCGGAAACACAGCATATTGTAGTTAATGTAAATATAGCCACTTACCTGTTCTCAATGTCTGATAAAAGAATAAGAAAAGAGGGGAAATTCTGTTTAGAGTCACTTATTATTTTTGGATTTACAAAACTCTACTATTATTGCATCAGTTTTTTGTTCATTTGCAATGAAAATAGATCAATTACCTCTTTCATCAACAGCTGTTGTTGGAAATTTGACCGATTTCTTCATGTTTGCTGCTGTGACTCAGGCAGGCGTGTCCTCGCCCGGTAATTCTGGAAGGAGAAATACATTTATAATTAAATATATAATAATCATTAAAATAGGTTAATATTTACTCAGACTGTGTAACTGTTTAATTTAATGATATTATTTGACGAGAGTGAGTCTATTTAAAGAGACGTTTTTATTAACATAGTGTAGAAATTGATGTTGGAAGAAGAGTATTACTGTACCTGGACTTGAATGTCTGGTTTCTTCAGAAATCCACCAGGACCTCTGAGCCTCATCGTAGTAAATTCTTATTATCTTATTTTCAGGTAACCTATGCCTGTCCTTTCCCATTATCTACACCCCAATTAGACTGATAAGAGCGGTGTCAGCTGTGTGACTGTTACTAGAGTGCCTCTGAAAGGCTATAAGTTAATGTGCTTTAACTACTATTACTGTAGTTATCTTTAAAAACAAACCTGTGATTTATAAAATGGGAACTTTACTAACATTGCATGGTTAGAGAAAGCATCCCTTGGTATAATAATGTGTTATATTATTCATATGTTATTATAAGTGATTGTAAAATGGGTTTAATGACCTTAAGGCCATTAGCTGCGGTCAGGTGCTGTCTCAATACATCCAATTAAAATTGTCTTGGATTGTGACATTTGGCCCCCATTTGTCATTAGAAGTCATTAGAACTTCAGTGAAGATTTAATTAATAAACATTTAATGATTTAAATTAAAGGTTAAATAAGAAAACTAGCTGATCCTAGGGAAAGGGAACACTTTAGATTAATATTTCATTTCAAATTTCATCCTTTGTCTCTGTCATATAATTGTTTCAACATTTTGTGGAGTTTCCTTTTTTCACAAGTATTGATACATAAAATATGAATATTTAAAATATGTGGTTTACTAAAAGTGGAAATGGAGACACAATGATAGCAATAAAGCAGATGTTTGGTGGGTTAATGCCCGCTAGGACAAGTGGTAAAGAGGAGTTTGCTCCTTCTTTACAGCTGGTTATTATTCACAACACAGGTGATTGATAATATGTCAGGAAGGAGGGGCAGACACACACTGTGATAACAAACTGACTCACAGAGCTCAGGGCTGAAACCTGCACCAACAATGAGTGGAGAACATCCAGAAAAGTATAATGTAGTATATATAATAAGAGTATATTTATACTTGGCATGCCTTTCGTGTATTCAGGAGTAGAATATTAAAGTTTTTGATTACTTTTGGCTGCCAAAATATTTAATATTTAATGGGTGCACTTAAATAATGTATGCTCCATTAAAGGAGTTTGATATTTGGGAAATACACTCATCTGTTGTCTTGCCAAGAGTTGAATATGGGAGAGACCATATCAGACATAAATTATTATAAATAGTATTTTATTTTCCGGTTACCACTTTCTGTAATATACTGAGTATGAGTATTTATATGTGTGTGTGTGTGTGTGTGTATAGATTGAAATATATGTGTATCTATCTATCTATCTA